CATTTTTATAGCGACAAATGTTACGCAAAAATAATAATTTCAACAAAGTCAACAAAGCTTGAACAGGGCAGTTAAAGCAGCCAGAGTATATCTTTTTGTTTTTGATCTCCTTGACAAAATTTTCACGTTATGCACATTCTATTTGAAGATGACACTAATTCTGCAATTTTAAGGTATAAAACAACAACATGAGGCGGTCATATGTTTCCGTATATTTCTCTTCGGTCTTTTCAATAAACAATAATAATCAAAGGCATAACACAAAAAAACTAGTATGTTGTTGTTCCATAAAAACACACACACTTCAAACAAATTTGATCGAATCGCTTTTGTATATTTCCTATTATAATGGTCTATTCTTTACTTAGATATTTAAACACTTTAAATTAATTTTTATCTCGTTATAACGAGATAACTAACTCGTTATAACGAGATATTAACTCATTATAACGAGATATTAACTCGTTATAACGAGATAACTTACTCGTTATAAAGTGATAATTGTCTAGTTATAACGAGATAACTAACTCGTTATAACGAGATAACTTACTCGTTATAACCAGATAATTATATCGTTATAACAAGATAACTAATTCGATATAACAAGACAACTAACTCGTTATAACGAGATAACTAACTCTTTATAACGAAATAACCAACTGGCTATAACAAGATAACTAACTGGTTATAACGAGATAACTTACACTTTATAACGAGATAACTTACTCGTTATAACGAGATAACCATCTCGTTATAACAAGAAAACTAACTCGTTAAAACGAGATAACTAACTCGTTATAACGAGATAACTTACCCGTTATAACGAGATACTTACTCGTTATAACGAGATACCAACTCGTTATAACGGGATAATAACTGGTTATAACGAGAAAACTAACTCGTTATAACGAGATAATTATCTTGTTACAACGAGATAACTAACTCGTTATAACGAGATACTAACTAGTTTTAACGAGATACTAGCTCGTTATTACGAGATAATTATCTCGTTATAACGAGCTAATTTTTTTTTTTGTCTTATCAAAAATGAGCCTATCTGGCTTTCGTACGTTTTAACCTTTAGATGCATAAATTTTTTAATACTTCAATTAATGAAAATGAAATTTTACCAAATATATTGGATTTAATTAGACAATGTTAATTTCATAATTGTAAGTTGTTTTCCTGGCAACATCGCTTTTTAAAATTACCATAGACATGTCTTTTTATTCTCGTGGTCGTTAATTTAAGGATAGCTTTAATTTATAAGCATGCCTGCAGAGGTAAAACAGCAGTACCGGGTAATTGTTGGCTTTTGATATGAAGTGTTCATTTCTAAAAGTTTTAAAGTTTAAGTAACAAAAATTAAAAGGTACTATACTATTGTACTATACATGTATCTTTCATCTTTGATACAAAAGTTTTATCCCCATTAAAGGAAAACATGTTCTGTGACTATTAGAGCAAGAGTTTGTGCATTCTTAGGTTCGTTTTATCACATATTATAAATAAGTTTTCACAGTTGTCATTATTTAAAAAATCAAGATAATTTTCTTAGTTGGTGTCAAAAAGAGAAACCTATTAAATAGAGAATGTATAGTTTCCATAATTGTAATCCTCTTTGATTTAGCTCTGGGTAAAAAATGTGCAAAAAGCCAAAAATCCAAAATAAAGTCTCAAACCTTTTTTTTCAGATGTTATAAGAAAGGTTAACGTTAACATTTGGACCCTACCGAAATAAAACTTCATGAAACAAATGGGCGATTGCTAAGGAAACTAGACCTCATAAAGATCTTTTCAAATTTCTTTATTGTTCTTCTCATAAAAATGTAGGAAAGATTAAATTTATGAAAAATAACAGACATGACAAAATCAGTATGCCCCTGACCTTCGAACTCAGGGTCCAGGCAATATTTATCACCAGGGTGGGACCAGTGCAAAAAACAATAATTATTGATTTTAAAAAAGTCTTGGTCCAACACCTTAAAGAATGAAAAAAGTAAATGATCCATCCTCATTTTGTTTAGAAAAGTCAAATTAACATTTCTGCATATATAACATGATCTGAATTATCATCAGCTATCTAGAGGGGTGGGGTATAGATGACTAACAGTTGTAGCTGCATACTCCATTCAGTTGAAGTAAAATTGGCATTTTCCTTTTCAGAACCAAAATGTTTATGTTTTGGAAATTTAAATGTGATTTTGGGATAATATGCAACTTTGAAATGTATAAAAGACGAGTTAAATCATGTATATAAAAATATCTGAGCCATATTGCATTTGAGCGATAGAGGAAGATGAGGGATACCTCTAATAGCTTTGGTACACACCTTGCAAATCTGATTATCCCCTCGCAACGGAGTTGGAGGGATATAGTAACGCAATCGATCGTGTGTGGGTTATGTCCTGTGCGAAACGGAAGTGACGTAATTTGCATCGGGATCGATTTCGAATGCTCCCTTGCATTTATAGAGAAGCTCTTTGCGAGGGATGCTCCTCTTTGCGGTGTCCTTGTTAAATTTAATTTTTAATATGTATTTACAGGCCTGAATAATCAAACTAAATTTCTTAATGCTACTGATTTAGAAAAATAGAGCTTCTGATATTTAATGAGAACTTGAATTTTCATAGAAAGCATGGATCCAACAATCATCATCTTAGGGTCAATCAATCCATATGGTTGTATTCTCGTAATTGACCATAACTTTTTCTCTTATTTTTCATTGAAACATGGTAAATATGGTGTTGTTTTACTTGTTATAGCATGTAATTTCTTAATCTAAAATAATATATTGTAAAAAGACCTGAATTTCCATCGACAGCATCTATAATCATGTAAAGTTCAGTCAATTGCTATTCGTGTGTTCTCTTAACTAACCATATAAGGTAAATTTGGTATTATTTTTCTTGTAATAACCCACCATACTTTCTAAATCTAAAACGATATCTTAATCTCCAGACAATTTAGAAATGTTAAAGGAGACAAATGACAGATTAGCACTTAATGTCAGGTCTAAATAGTGGAAGTTGGAAGGAACCTGTGATTCTATAGGGTTTCTTTTAGGCTTATATATTACTACACATATATGACTATGAAATGTTCTCCCACTTTTTATGCTGCGTTTGACCAGGCGTCAATAATTTCAGTTAAGGAAAGTGGTCTGTTACCAGCTTATCTTTTGAGATTTACAAACCAATCTTAAGATATACGATGCATATATTTTAAAAGACGTTTTACAGATCAGGCCAACTTTTTGGTCTGTTTTCAGTTTATAAAAAGGGGTACACAAACCAAACTTCCTCCTGAGGTGTATCTACATATCTATGATCATTTCAATGGGTGCTTTGCATGCTTCATCTGGCCTACATTTCATGCTTCCGTGATTCATTAAGAACAGTTTCAATTTTGTCTTATCACAAGGAGTTTACAAAGCAAACTTCCTTAGCACATCCCTGGATGTTCTGTTTAATGCATTTGTACAAATCTGCATTCTCTTTGAGTATGTCCCACAGGATGCACTTTTCCACTTAGGAGACAGCTCTAGTTCTCACAAGTATTTGATGGAAATTTACCTCAAAGAAAAAAAAAATATACACTAGTCTGATAAAATGATATGTGTTTTTAAAGCTCCTTTACAAATCATATTCAATTGTATGCTATATATAACTGTTTCTGCATCCATACATGGTTTGTGGGATATCTCCCCCATATTGCTATGATATGGTTTGTGGGTCCCTACCGACAAGTATGCTGCACTTTACCCCTTAAGAAACACCTTTAGCTCTCACAGGTGCTTTGATGAAAATTTACCTCAAAGAAAAAAACCTATATACTAGTCTGATAAAATGATATGTGTTTTTTGAGCCCCAATACAAATCATATTCAATTGTTTGCTATATATAACGGTTTTTGCATCCATACATGGTTTGTGGGATATCTCCCACAAAGAATATATATATATATATATTTCTATGATATGGTTTGTGGGTCCCTACCCACAAGTATGCTGCACTTTACCCCTTAGGAAACACCTCTAGTCCTCACAGGTGCTTTGATGAAAATTTACCTCAAAGAAAAAACCTATATACTAGTCTGATAAAATGATATGTGTTTTTTTGAGCTCCGATACAAATCATATTCAATTGTATGCTATATATAATTGTTTTTGAATCCATACATGGTTTGTGGGATATCTCCCACAAAGAATATATATATATATTGCTATGATATGGTTTGTGGGTCCCTACCCACAAGTATGTTATATATAATTATCTACTATAGATCGCTGTGGGACTCATACCCACAATGTAATGACCCACAACGTTATCTATAGCTTTGAAACCAAATATGAGAAAACTTAATAATTTTTCTATATTTGGGATCTACATCAAAAACTATTCTTAAAAATGTGTTTCCTTTTGAAATAAGCCTATTACAAATGCAGGGTCCCATAAACCATGTTTATGTGACATGACCCGCAAACCACGTCAAGTACGTATATATATATATATATATATATATATATATATATATATATATATATATATATATATATATATATATATATAATATGGTAGATAAATGGAGTTTGTTAATCATACATCAGTATTTTATACAGATTTTTCAGCTGGACCACAAATCAGGACAAATCATGTTACAATTTTGAATATTTGACCAATCAAATTACAGAGATACTTTACTGTTTTGATTTTGACCAATCAAATTTCAGAGTTACTCTGTTGTGTGTGGTTTCCTTGCATGATTGATGTTGTTTTTCCAGTTTTTTTTACTAAATATGTATACCCAAAAATATCAATGATTTATTAGTTTTCATGATATAACTATCATATTCAACAATTAGTGAACTTTTATCTTATATCATTGATTGTCAAATTGTGTTAACCATTTTATGAAACTTTATAATTGTTTCTTTTGATTGAATTTCATGATCTTTCTGTATAGTAAAAGGGTTCATTGATTTAAAATACTTTTTACAGTTGATTGTGATTGTAACAGTGCTGGCTCCCGCTCGATGTCATGTGACCTTAAAACCAAAGCCTGTGACTGTCATCCAGGGGTCGGAGGTCAGAAGTGTGACAAATGTAAGCCTGGTTACTGGGGTCTCAATCCGGAGACACGCCCACTATACACACCAGGATGTGTCAGTAAGTTAACCGTTTACTGTTAATTGTCATCGTAAATAACTCATTGAATATGTTAGATCACCAAATGTTCCCAACACCTTTAGGCCAAATATCCAAATATTCTCACTTATTGATAAAGATCTAGGGAGGCAATAATGATGAAGTCTCAAAATTCAACAGCTTTGGACTTTTATGTTTTAATTTTTTGGACAGGTTGTGGATGTAATCAATCTATTTTTTTTTTTTTGACAGGTTGTGATTGTAATCAGTTTGGTTCCACTCGCTCAGATTGTAAACAGAATGATGGTGGGTGTGTCTGTAAACCAGGGGTCAAAGGTCATAAGTGTGATACATGTGAACGTGACGACAGTCCCGTCTCATTTGATGTGTGCGGACAGGATGGTTAGTCTATAAATAGAATGATTCTATACAGGTGAAATCCCTGACAGTTACAAATTGTTAAATTTTTCTGAATCAGGTTTAACTTAAGAACCATGAGAAGACAGATAACCAAGTGACTATGAGCGAGGAAATAACCTGATTAGACTTCTTGTATGAGAGGTGTGTCTAGGGATGTGCACTACCAAATAGGGCTGAATCAATATATCAATATGTATTGATATTCAAGAATGTGAAATATCCAAACATTACCTTCCAATACATAGCAGTCAGTGTCTAACTTCTGTGTAAAAGTAGGGAATTTCATAATTAAAGAACATATATATATCTTAAACTGTTCTTAAATAGATACGACCTATTATCATGATTATGAAATAAAAATTATTATGAAATAAAAATTGAAATTCTCAGTTTTCATAAACTTTATACATTAAATGATTTGGAAGACCTTTATTATAGGATGGATAAAAAAAACCCTTCAATATAACTTTATTTTGCTTGGTAAAAAATCGTTTCATATTGACACTATCAAACTTAGTTTGGATGCTGTATTTGACCTATGTTTGCTGTATGGGTCACGCTATCTATAACCATGATGCAGTCACTAAGAGCTTAAATGCCATACCATTGATACTAGTCTAAAATTAGTAGCAAACTCCCAAGTTTTAGTTTTTGTAGATGGCTCAACATGTCATATCTTCATTCAAAATAAGTAAAATTGATGCAAAGCATCATATCGGCCGTAAACAAAATTTAGCATTTTAAAAATACTTTCACAATTATGCATCCAAGTTTGAAGGAAAACACAAGATATTCAAAGCTGATAGAGTGATCATAATTATTTCATATCTTCAATGCAAAAAATAATATACAATGATAGCCTTTAATTTTGATGAGGTCAATCCCTAGATATATAGACCATAGAGAAAGCATATTGACTGAGCACTCAGGTTGGGGAGTACCTATTGTAAACTCTTTTTGATAATTTAAAGCAAGTTTTAAAAATATTTTATGCCTGATTTTATACTTGTTATCATTAAAGAATTCTTTAACTGAACTAATGAAGAATTAACTTCTCATTTTCCCTTGTGCACTTCCTAACACAACCACAACGGCGCACCAAGTAGCGGCCAATAATTAAATACCATATTGGTAGAAATTTTAGTGAGACGCAAATTTAGAAATTTTTCTCATAAAATCGATATATATTTTTATTGAAAAGATATTTTAGCCATTTGTAATGTCAAGAGAAACAGCTGTAACAACCAGTATGGAATAAATTGTTGGTGATATTCAATTTTAGCAATCTCAGAACCCTCACTAATAATGCCAAAATTGAAACCTTGCTAAAAATTCTGCTTACACGCATTTAATACGGTATTTAATATTTTTGTATGTCCCCTGTTTTAAAAGATGTGAAAATGATCATTTTTTAAAGGGGAGAATTTGATTGTATATTATAATGTTATATAATACATTTTCATCAAGGAAGACTCAAAATACAAACTTGAAAAGATATTACATTGTATTTCCTATATAAATTGTCTTCTGTTTAATATGAAGTGTCTGTAAATATTTATACCCCCGCTCCAAAGGAGAGGGGGGTATACTGTTTTACCCTTGTGTGTCTGTCTGTCTGTGTCTGTCTGTCCGTAACAAATTTTTCGTTGTAGTTTTCTCAGCAACTACTCATCGCAGATGCTTGAAATTTTAGCACACACTTTTTTGAGGCATGCCATATGGTGGGATTTATTTTTGTACGAATCGGATGTCAACTTCCTGTTTATCCTTGCGTCTGTCCATACCGTACATAACAAATTTTAGTCGCAGTTTTCTCAGCAACTACTGATTGCAGATGCTTGAAATTTTAGCAGGCTCTTTGTTAAGGCATGCCATATGGTGGGAGTCATTTTTGTACGAATCCAATGTCAACTTCCTGTTTATCCGTGCGTCTGTGTGTACCATAAATAACACATTTTCGTTGTAGTTTTCTCAGCAACCACTGATTGCAGATGCTTGAAATTTTAGCACACTCTTTGTTAAGGCATGCCATATGGTGGGAGTCATTTTTGTACGAATCCAATGTCAACTTCCTGTTTATCCGTGTGTCTGTCCATACTGTACATAACAAATTTTAGTCGCAGTTTTCTCAGCAACTACTGATTGCAGATGCTTGAAATTTTAGCAGGCTCTTTGTTAAGGCATGCCATATGGTGGGAGTCATTTTTGTACGAATCCAATGTCAACTTCCTGTTTATCCGTGCGTCTGTGTGTACCATAAATAACACATTTTCGTTGTAGTTTTCTCAGCAACCACTGATTGCAGATGCTTGAAATTTTAGCAGGCTCTTTGTTAAGGCATGCCATATGGTGGGAGTCATTTTTGTACGAATCCAATGTCAACTTCCTGTTTATCCGTGTGTCTGTCCATACTGTCATAACAAATTTTAGTCGCAGTTTTCTCAGCAACTACTGATTGCAGATGCTTGAAATTTTAGCAGGCTCTTTGTTAAGGCATGCCATATGGTGGGAGTCATTTTTGTACGAATCCAATGTCAACTTCCTGTTTATCCGTGCGTCTGTGTGTACCATAAATAACACATTTTCGTTGTAGTTTTCTCAGCAACTACTGATTGCAGATGCTTGAAATATTAGCACACTCTTTGTTTAGGCCTGCAATATGGTGGGATTCATTTTTGTGCGAATCTGATTTTCAGTTCTTGTTCATCCTTGTGTCTGTCCATAACTGAACTTGTGTACATTCACATCAGAATGTATATTCACATCAAAGCGGGGGGTATTACTAGTGAGCATTGGCTCACAGACTTGTTCATTTTGCCACATCCTGAGGATGGGCTGAATGAGTTATTTAATCACTCATAATGAGACATAATGCAGGCAACCATCAGGTTACTTTTAGCATTAAATTTTTAGCTCACCTGAGCTGAAGGCTCAAGTGAGCTTTTCTGATCACATTTTGTCCGTCGTCCATCCGTCCGTCTGTCCGTCTGTAAATTTTTCACATTTTCGACTTTTTCTCAAGAACCACTGGGCCAAATTTAACCAAACTTGACACAAAGTATCCTTGGGTGAAGGGGATTCAAGTTTGTTCAAATGAAGGGCCACACCTTCTTACAAGGGGAGATAATTAGGAATTAGTGAAAAAATAATGGCATCATTTAAAAATCTTCTTCTCAAGAACCACAGGGCCAGGAAAGATGAAACTTACGTGGAAACATTCTCAGGTAGTGTAGATTCAAGTTTGTTCAAATCATGACCCCCGGGGGTAGGGTGGACCCACAATGGGGGATCAAAGTTTTACATAGAAATATATAGGAATATATCTTTAAAAATCTTCTTCTTAAGAACAGCAAAGCCATGATAGGTCATATTTATATGGAAGCATCCTCAGGTAGTGTAGATTCAAGTTTGTTCAAATCAGGATGCCCGGGGGTAGGATGGGGCCACAATGGGGGATCAAATTTTTACATATGAATATATGGGAAAAAATCTTCTGCTCAAGAACAGCAATGCCATTTGTTATATTGATATGAAAGCATCATCAGGTACTTTAAAATTCAACCCCCCCCCCCCCCCCCCCCCCTTCGTTAACTTTTCAATACTAAACTGATATTTGCTTTTTTTCCATAGCCAATGTGCTCAGGTGAGCGATGTGGCCCATGGGTCTCTTGTTTTTTAATATGAGAATGATCTTATTTTTCGTTGTCATATGATGTCATTTTGTTCCAGACAAGCATGTATAACACTTTAATGTATCATTCCAGTGCAGACAATTTATAACCCTGAACACAGCTGTACCAGATCTGCCAGCCAGTGTCAGTTTGGGGCGTATTGTCAGGACACAGTCTACGGAGCCGAGTGTCTCTGCGATCGATTGTCCTGTTTTTTCTATCCAGATGGTGGCTACTCGATATGTGGCTCTGATGATAAGACATACATTAATGAATGTCACATGACCTTCGAGAGTTGTAAACAACAGAGGAACATCACAGTTAAATACATAGGACCATGTACAGGTCAGTAATCAGCTTCAGGTATATAAAAATTGTATTCAATTTGTGAATTTAGCATAAAGTTCTCAAAACAGAGCTGACTGTCTCAGACTAGCAAATGTTTGGTCCAGTCTAGTGTATTTTGCATCGTAATTGTTCAATCAACTGGAAATTACTAGAATATATTTAGTTCATTGATTTGAAATTGATGATTTTTCAACTGTGTGTTAAATTTGGAAGAAGCTACAAGAGGTGAAAAACCCTGGTTACTTGATGAAAATAGGGAATACCTGTTAATGACTTTGATATAAATCGATCTCAGCTTCGGACTGTTCACATGCAATGTTTTAGTAGATGTACTTGTGTAGTGGTATTTTGTACTAATTGTGTTCTTCTTCTGTAGGGAGTGCTACAAGTCACCCCTCCTCATATACCCGAACTCGAAAGACAACTGGACGACGAACTGGTGATTACACTCAAAGAACAACAACTAGGACAACAAAACGACCACAGTTAGGAGGAAGTACGTACTGAACAACAAAAGATTTACTTGTATTTCATTATTTTTGAATGTTGTAATACTTAACAGTAGATGTGAATACAGTATAGCTCATGAGTATTCCCAATCTCTTGATGGAAGACACATCATGTGAACTGGCCTCTGTTACACCAAATACATGGTATAGCACCTTTGTGTGATTTAAAATATATGAGTTGGTATGCTGCATCGTGTCCAGAAAAATTTCCCTTAATGCTCTCCTTGTTCCTCGACGTGGTCGCTTAAGAGAGCATAGACATTTAGCTCACCTGAACCAAAGGCTTGAGCTTTTCTTATCAAAAGATTTTTGAAGTTTTCACATTTTGTACATCTCGAAAATGAAAAAGCCAATCACACCTTAACACAAAGCATCCTTCAATAAAGGGAATTCAGAATTGCACAAATGAGGTGCCATACCCTCTTTCAAACTAACAGAGTTTTCACAGGTTGTTAACATTAAATTTAATCCAGCACAGAAAACATAACATCAAAGACATGCACAATTTTCATTGTCCTTACTAAAACAAGGACTGTGTGCCCATTGCATGTCTTGGGGGGACTACCGGTATTCACAAACTATATTGTTGATCTGAAAATTAATCCCTAATTAAGTCCTTGTTCTTTAGTGCAATGCCAGTAAAAGAAAATGCTTATTTTTATGCATCTTTGGATAGATAGAAGATCTGCACATCATTTTCTTTTATTTTCATTTTCAGAGAAAATCAAGGATATCTGCTTTGCCAGACGCGATTGTATAGCTAACAACAGTGAATGTCACATGGGAGTATGTCGTTGTAAAGTGGGATTTATCAGTACGCTGGACGACACAGATTGTAAAAGTAAGAGGGATACAGAATGTCTACAGTGTGATTGTAAATTCAAGAATTTGTTGTTTATGTGTTCAGATTTGTAAGAGAATGGCTATAAGGTCTGTTTTGTGGTGTCTTCTTAAAATCAATCATGGGAAGTAGAAATCAATTATTTAGTATGGAATCTTCAGAGTTTTATTTATTGTTGAATGAATGACAAAGTCTGATAAAGAGAAACCTGACCTAATTTAGCAATTCAGCAATTAAGCTCAAGTGATTCAAGGAAAATCATTGATATTTGTTTCTTCGGAGATTTATTGAAGAGGTATATAATTCTGAATGATGTGAATTGAAGGCTTGGCCAAGTTTCTGAAGCTTTTAGCTAAAATACTGAGATACTAAGACAAAACAGGCCAAGTTGCTACATAACTATAAATATATAACCAGGGAAATAAATCCTTAAAGAAAGACTATTTGAATAATTAAGACAGTGCAGTGTTAAAGTTTAGAACATGGTTTTATTGTCAATGACATCCAAGCTGTTAACATGATAAACATGTTTCTGTAATTTAATGTTGTCTTAATAGAAGTCTTGGAGAGAGCACTAGACAATAGGACATATATAAACCCGTGCTCGGACAGCCCCTGTCTAAATAACGGTCATTGTCAGCTAGACGTATCCCTAGGATACCGGTGTCTGTGTCCACTAGAGAAAGCAGGCCCTATCTGTCATAAAGGTTAGTCAGATCAACATATCTAGTAGTATATAGTTAACAAATATATCATATGATTATCTGCTAAAGATGAGCTGATTGAATTGTAATTGGAAATTATGAAGAAAAGGGTGGGTCATTTAGAATTCTTCTCGGAATTGGTGTTTTAGAGCAAAACTCATGTGAAAGCAATTTTTACAAGGACACCGCAAAGCGGAGCATCCCCTCATAAGTGAGCACATACATTATATAAATATTGCATGCTAGCTAGGGTAACATTAGAAATTGTCACCCCAAGAAAACCATTGTTGACAGAGGCGAAGCCAAGGTCAACAATGGTTTTCAAGGGGTGACTGTTTTCAATTTTACCCTAGCTAGCATGCAATATTTATGATGTTATACTGAATGTTATATATAAAATGTTTCACAGTGTATGTATCAAAATGAAACAACTTAACTTTTTAAAAAAAAAAATTTCTTTAATCATAAGTCAACTGAATTCAATAATATCACCGAACACTGTCTTGAAAGAAATCAATATCACATAACGCCATGTTTTTAATTAAATAAACATTATAATATAACATATAACATTAACTGAACAAATGGATATCTCAGAACAAATGGATATCACAGTTTGAATGTGTATTTATCATGGAACATAATATTAAGGATCAGTTCAAAGAAGTTCACTATTTACTTTGGGGGCACAAAGTTGAAATGAACCACACAGTTATTGAGAGATGGGTATACATTAATGCCCTTGAGAGATGGGTATACATTAAGGACATGCGCAACGTAGTTTGAACTTTATTGTCTTTTTCCCTGGAGTTGAAGAGTTCCAATACTTAAAGGAATTGTGTGCTACATTTGTATGTCTATATATGCTGTTGTACACTTCTTTTAAAACAAGTTTGGATAAACAAAACATCTAGAATATATGTTTAGTAATTTTTGTGTATTTTTTTTGAATTATATAAGAATTTTCATCAATTGATATCTTTTCAAAACCCCTGGTAATGCATGCTGATTTTTTGTCGACGAACATCTGATGGCACTATGATCTTAAATTAAGAATATCTTGAAAAATTATCAGTAGGTAAGGTACGTTGCGTATGTCCTTAATGGCATCGAACTGACTTTGGCAGGTACTGAATTTAAGAAATTAAGTGGCTGTGGAGATTCCACCGATTTCTCTTGGTTTGTGGGAATTTCTGAAAATGTACTGTCATTAAATATATGTTACCCTGGCCTGGCAGAATCTAAAAAGAACAGGAGAGGTGAAGTACGTTACAATGTTTATTTGGCGGGTTTCAGCAACAATAAAAGTCTAACCCAAGATATGCACTATTATACATACATACACTCATTTAGTCTAGGGGATTTACAATTACTAATTTACTATGACATCAAAATATCACTGACTAGAATAAAACATGTGGCTAGTAGATTCCGTTTGATAATTTATCAATAAAATATTTAATACTACCATATCTTTATGTCCGAAACAGCCAAAACACATTTACATCTGTGTTTGTTTACGTTTTGTCTCAAACCGGAAACAGATTACACTACTCTAAAACATGACTCTAATCCGTGCAACTCAACTAATTCCGGAAACAAATGAAATTGTATATATTCTTTAGAAAATCAAATCTATATGTTTAGCAAATACTTTCTGTGATTATAAACATAACAATTCTGTACATATAATCTGTTCACTATTGTTTAAACTCAAAATAAAGACTTTTCACTGAACTCTAACCACATGACTAGACCATGCTGCATCAAAATACTAACGAATACATTGAAATTCACCTAATCGCTATATTTTGAGAAAAAAAATGTCTTATATCAAACATATTATATATCAAGAAAACAGTTACAAACATGTTAACTTGTACGAATTTATGTTCTTACCTTAAAAGAACAGGAGAGGTGAAGTACGTTACAACGTTTATTTGGCGGGTTTCGGCAACAATAAAAGTCTAACCCAAGATGCCCCATATTCCAGATTTACACAAATCCAAGAGTTATCTCTCTTTGATCATAAATTCTATAACAGACTAATAGATTACACAAAAAAATGGGGGTGGCTGAAACCCAATATAAACTACGTCACATATAGCATCAGGTTCCTCCATAGTTATATCTTCTAAAGCAACGTTTTCATTCTCTTTCTGATCATCTCGTGATCCTGAGAATTCCACTTAAACAGTCTGACATTTCCCGTTTCTTTGGATCACCAAGTCGACAAGCATAACTTCTAATTGAAGCTTCATTTTTATGGCCTGATGCTCTCATGGAATGGTTTGTGTACATGTTGGAAAGATTTCCAAGTTTGGAGATTGCTGACATCATGGTTCCCAGAGTGTTCTTTCCTATAGCTTCATGACAATACCACACCCTGTTTGACTAGAGATATAAATCCAAAGGACGCTGCCATAGAGCATCAAGCTTGGGGTGCAGTTTATTTATATATTTCTTGAAAGATGCTACAGGACACATCACATTTCCTGGCTTTGTGTACATTCTACCCTCACCAGTAGTGTCATCAGGGGTTCCATCAACACTACAATATTTTAAGAAAATATAAAGGATGACTGCACTTAATGCCTGTTTTTGGGTCCTTTTCGGTTGCTTCTGTTGCTTTTATATCTAAACCTTACCTCACTTTTGTATGTTTATGAAAGAATACTGTCAATTTGGAACCACATTTAAATCTTAAAATGATTTTAGACTGTGATACAATAAAATGATTCAATGTTCTTTGTCCTTACTGCTTTCCAAATATAGTGAATTTACACTTACCTGCCCTTGATTGAACATTAGATATGCATGAGAGGTGGAGCTAATATTGTAAGAATGGCTCTAAAATTAGACTACATAAATAACAATGACATGTTTTGAAAAGCGAACGTGATCACTCTTTCCAATCTCCCTCTCCATTCTGTATAGCACAAATACACTTCTGACAAAGGTTTCAAAACGAAATTAACAATATGAGCACATCAATGTAATTAAAGCAAATTTATATCAATGCCAGATGACTTAACGTGTTCGAACACAATGTCCTAGTTAGCACATCACATGCTTCCTTACAAGTCACGTGACGGAATTTAGTATTCACAAAGTTACCTGAGGTAAGAAATCACGTGGTGAATTATAATATTCAACATGTCACAATCCTTGGTTACAACACAGAGAGCGAATGTAAGAAGAAGCAGTTTTTTCTCTTTTTAACCATGAGCGCATGTTTGTCTATTAATCTCCTTTTGACACATTATTATTTATGCAAATATACAACTACTGTTAAACGTAGAAAAATAGACAAACATGCGCTGACTATGTATAAAGTCAGTAAATAAGTGGGCGTCCTCATTATCGAACGGAGATTCAAGAAATTGTGATGACCCCTGCCTTTGAAAACAGCTTCGAACTTCGTAAATACACACTTTTATTAAACGTAATTACATAAAGTTGTAGATTGGATGTTGACCATTCTTGCAATGAAAAGAAAAATGCTTGTTTTGAAAGTTTATTTTGTCGCAAATTCCGCATTTCCTTAAGTGCAGTCATCCTTTATTTTTTAAGTGAAATTTTAAATGTAATATAAATTATATGTATGTATATATTGGTTCAGAAGTGTTACCTGTGATTTTTATCAGCCTCATCAACAGCCTAGAATACAAACTGTCACCTACAGGAATCTGTATTAACTCCAAGTGTTGCTTTTGTCATATATCTTAAATTTTCCCGTTCCCTACAATAAGTGTAAAACATAACATCAAACCAGACTTTCATCTGCAGGCCACATGGTGTATTTATGTTAAATACTACACTTTCTGAGTTGTAGAGTTTTCTCAGGTCCTCTTGAGTAATCGGAGGTTTGTGGACGATGGAGCCATATCACTTTTTTTTTTCATGTCAGTAACTTTTGCCTTGAAGACTTTTTTGCAGTCGCTAAATTCTGGATCATTGATATCAATCTTGCATGTTTCTTTCAGGTATTTGGAAAGTCCATACTTAATACTCTGAAGGGAAGTTACCTTCAAATTATCAGATTTTGATCTTATTGACACAAAAAATTTCATTAAATGTTCCTTCGAGAGACTCTCAAACTCTGGGTTGATGTTTTTCTGGGTCAGGAATGACCGAAATAAATTCAGCAACCTTTTTATGGTCCTCTGTATACTCTTTGAATCTTTTTCTTTGATTAAACATTTAATATGGTCTTCATCAATGCTTGCGAACATTATGATTTTCATTTTTCGTTTGGTTTACCAATCTAGGTTAATTTAATTAATTGAAGACGCTTTATGACAATGTTTGTTTCAAACGCTTAAATGATACCTGTCGAAAAGTATGGTGAACCGTGCGTGCAGAAATTCTGCACAGTCACTATTTTTTTTGGACTATTACCCGTCATCTAGCAATGTTAACTGTTGCTAAGTTCAGTCACGCAGGAGAGCGTGGTTTTATCATTCAGAGGGTAATAGTGTTTTTTAACAAATGTTACTTGACGAATCAGATTCAACTAATTTACATGAAAGTATAATATTCAATAATATTTGTAATAACTTTATCTTTAAAAAGCTTGTTCTAATGAACAGCAGGACTTTGATTAATGGAGTCAATAGTAAAGTATCTTCAGGTAGTGTAGAAATAGCTTTGTTGAAATAATGGCCCTGGTGCAAGGGTTAGGGTCTGTCCAGTAGGGGTCAAAGTATACAGAGAAAAATGCAACATTTCCAAATATTTTTCCTTAAGATTCTTTGCAAATTAGAAAAAGTTCATGTTCTCATATTGAACTACCGTGGAATGAGTAAGAATATTTCCATTGTTATGTAATTAAGTCAAAAAATAGTGCACACTTTTTTTTCAAAAATGATCATTGAATGACAAATATATGTGGCAAGTCATCAGAAAAATATTGTAAATATAAGATGAATTTAATTTTTGAGAATTCATGAGGTACATGAAATACAATGCTAATGCGCTTCATGAAATAGGCCGGTGTGAAGCGTCATAGTTCATTTCCTCATGAATTCTCAAAAATTAAATTCATCTCTTAAATAAGAATGTCAGGTTCTAGTTGATCTTTATTTATTCTCATTTGATTGACAGCTGCCAGGTTCTCTGTGCCTTCCTTTACTGGAAACAGTTCCTATCTACAACTGAGATTGAGGACCAAACCAAACGATGATCTGATGTTTGAGATTCGCCTGAAAATTCTAAATGATGATGGAATAATTACCTTCGCCAGTCAGTATCCTAACGGAACTGGTGACTTTATAGCTGTCACCGTTGTCAATGGGTACCTGGAGTTCAGGTAAGAGTCCTAGGAAAGGTACTCACTATATTCACTGTACTTGGATAGGATTTATAGGTACTTAATGATTTATAGGTACTTATAATTTTTCGGTACTTATGATTTATGTGTACGTTAGGTATGATTTAGTTTTGTGGTTACTAGGATATGATTTATAGGTACTTATAATTTTTGGGTACTTATGATTTATGTGTACGTTAGGTATGATTTAGTTTTGTGGGTACTAGGATATGATTTATAGGTACTTATAATTTTTGGGTATCATGATTGATGTGTACGTTAGGTATGATTTAGTTTTGTGGGTACTAGGATATGATTTATAGGTACTTATAATTTTTGGGTATTATGATTTGTGTACGTTAGGTATGATTTAATTTTGTGGGTACTAGGATATGATTTATAGGTACTTATAATTTTTGGGTATTATGATTTATGTGTACGTTAGGTATGATTTAGTTTTGTGGGTACAAGGATATGATTTATAGGAACTTAAAATTTTTGGGTACCTTTGGTATAATTTTGGATACTTATGATTTATGTATACGTTAGGTATGACTTAGTTTTGTGGGTACAAGGATATGATTTATAGGTACTTATAATTTTTGGGTACTTACGATTTATGTACACTTTAGGTCTGATTTTGTTTTTTGGGTACTCCTATATGATTTATAGGTACTTGTGATTTATGTATACTTTAGGTATGACTTGGGGAGTGGTCTAGCTCTGATACGAAGCAGGGATCAGCTGAAGAGAAATGTGTACCACAAAGTACTGGTCAACAGAGTGGGCAGGTCCGGCCAGTTACAAGTGGACAATAGTCCGGTGCTACAAGGACAGAGTGAGGGGGCACTGACCTCTCTTGACCTTGGGGATTTTCTGTACCTGGGGAACATCCCTGAGGAAGCTAAAGAGTAAGAGACTGGGTTATTGAAAGAACATTATTGTTGCTTCATTTTGCATTTTAGGATAAAATTACAGTTTTTACCACAAGATTTAGTTAAGTAACATTTGACATATTTTATAGGGCAAAGAAAATGCTGGGTATACAGGTAGGCTTGGCAGGTTGTATCGACTCCTTTGCTGCGGGGAGCACAGTGTCCCCCTATACCTACAGCCTGAGTTATCCCACCAGGAGTGGGGATTTAGTTTCAGGATTAGATGTGTGGGAATGTGGCAGCAACCCTTGTAGTTCCCTACCCTGTCATAATGGAGGATCTTGCTTCATGTCCGATAAGGAAGTCTTCCATTGTGAATGTGAACCCGGATTTACAGGTAAATTCTTAGAATTCAGTGTTGGAGAAGTTTTCCATTTAGATGATAATTAGAATTCACTGTTGTATGGATCCAGTGTTGGGATGTTCTTTCAAGGTCATATGCAGTAAGCAATTAAAGGAGGATTTAAACACATTTTTGAGATGGCACTGAGTCTACTCGGGACTGATGTGTAACAAATGAGGTGATAGGCATGATCCTTGCGATGTGGCATAAGGTCCGTGCCTGAGATGGATACACAAGAATTCTTTAATTTTAGGTGATTTTTATGAGGTGACGTTAGATCTGTGTCTGAGGCTGATATGTTGGAACTGTTTGATTTTATTTGATTTCTGTGAGGTAGCTTTAGGTCCGTGCCTGAGACTTGGCAGTGTGAGAATTGTTTAATTTTAGGTGATTTTTATGAGGTGGCATTAGATCCGTGCCTGAGACTCGTATATGAGAATTATTTAATTTTAGGTGACTTTTATGAGGTGGTGTTAGATCCGTGCCTGAGATATATATATGAGAATTATTTAATTTTAGGTGACTTTTGTGAGGTGGCTTTAGATCCGTGCCTAAGAGCAATGTGTAAGGAGGGATCTACATGTGTAGTCACAGATGATGGAGGATTTGAATGTCAGTGTCCAGCAAACATGGAGGGGCAGTTCTGTGAAAATGGTGAGATAGATTGACATTGTACGTAGGTCATAGATAATTAGTGCAAGTAGGTCAATGAATCATTGAAAGTAGGTCAATAGATTATCAATGTAAGTAGATCAAAAGTAGGTAAGTAAATTATGATTTAAAGTAGGTCAATATGTTATCAATGAAAGTAGGTCAATAAATTTTCACTGAAAATAAGTTAATAAATTATCATTGTAAGTAGGCAAATAGATTATCATTGTAACTAGGTCAATAGATTACCATTGTAAATAGATCAATAGATTATCCTTGTTCCTATAGGTTAGTAGATTAACATTGTAACAAGGTCAGTGGATTAACACTGTATCTAACAATAATTAACAGTAGGTTAATATTGTAATCGATTAGCAATGTCAACTAATAAGTTAAAAAGTTAATAGATTCCACTGTAGCTAAGTTAATAGTTTGACAATGTACATAATTATGTTAATAATTTGCAGTGTAACTAAGAAAGAATAGTAAATATGCCTAGATTCCTGCATGAACAGGTTAGACTTGGTTGTGCAAAGCAATTAGAATTGGTAACTAGATTTTGTGGAACATGAAGGTAAATGTCCACATATGACAAATGGACATAAAGAGTCCACCAGGAAGTATTACTCTTTCAGAATCATCACTTAAGATTTGTAGTATACTGGTTTCTTATTAACTAAATATTTTAAACTTTTTAAGCTCAATATCATGCTTTATAACATTACAGAGAGACTGGAGGAGATAGCTGTTCCAGAGTTTAATGGGTCGTCTCTCATTAACCTTCCTCTTGGAGAAGTAGGAAGTCACTCAATGTCCATCAGAATCTGGTTTAAATCGGCAAAACCAAATGGTGAGGGAAGTTCAAATGGCAGACAAAAAATTTATGAGCCAGTGAAACAAGTCTGATTTTTTAAAAAAAGTTTATTCTCTATCTCTCTCTCATTACAATAATTACATATAATTACACTATTTTTTGGTCACTTGAATCACTCAAGGTTACACCTATTGCAATCCGTTTTCATCTGTCATTGTAATGGTGTGTATAATCTTTTGAATATTTTCATCCTCTTTTCTTGAACCACTGAACCAGGTCTAAACAATTTTGGTATAAAGCATCCATGGGCAACAGGGAACAAAAATTTTAAATTTCATGGTCTCTGCTCCCCCCTCCCTGGAGCCTGAGGGGTGGAGCCTATCTTCCCTGCTCCAAGGCATCTAGGATGCAAATAGAGTTTAAAGTTGTAGTGAGGATTTCTTTTTTAACCAGATTTTTTTGCAGTTCTTGCCCATTTGTCAGGAATTCTAGTAAAGGACAGGGCTCTATTGATTATGTAGGTAAATTTTTACTTCACATTGAGAAAAATCATTCAACTTTAGGATAATAAATCACTGTAAATATAATGGGTATTTTCTGTGAATCACAATTTTTTGAAAATATGCTATTATATTTTGGGGGGGGGGGGGGTATTTTAAGTTGGTGTAACCCTATATTTTGGATTGTCCAATTGGTATCATGATAGAATTTTCTATATTATAATACCTAATCAGTGACAGTTTTATGTGAGTTTTATTTTTGCAATTAAACAATGCTCACAAAGAAAGCGAAAATTGGATTATCAGGAAATTATCCTGTTATGCAGTATGCCAATTCAGTAAAAGGAATATACAATATTTAAATGTAATTCTGTAGTTTGTTATGGTCAGAATAAACTTGTCAATGTAAAAGAAAATGAGGCAAAAATACCTTATTATTATTGAAAGACCAAATTATAAATTTGGCAATAATGACAAAATGAGTGTCCTACTAGATACTGGCACATACAGGCAATAAATGTACTTTTTGCTGATAACCAAACTATTTTGTTGACCCCTGATCATCCTAGTTCTGTTGATCATTTAGCAACATACCTTCATCTATCAGTATATCATTGCATTATTCATTTGCCATTCTGTGGATCCTTTACAGAGTTTTATTATACTCAGGTGACTGTTAAGGCCCTCGGGCCTTGTCATAAATGTATTCTGTGAAATTTTACCTGTGCTTAATTAATTACAGGTGTGCTTCTGTATGCCAGTCAGTATCCACAAGGATTTGGTGATTATATTTCTCTGAACATCATCGATAGACAACTGGAATTCAGATTTAATGTCGGGACAGGAACTGTTGTAATCAGGTAAATAGGACTGTGGTTTGTGAGGACGTTTATTTGCATCTTAATGAGCACATCTATTGAACTGCTCAGTCTCAGATCCCAGCTGTCTACTCATAAAACAAGAACAGGATAGTTTATTTACTGATATATATTCGTTTGCTTTTATTCTCCAGAAGTTATATTTCAGGATTTGATGGTAACTTTTAAAGAATTTGTTCCTCATTATGTCCTTTTCTTGTAGGAGTACTAAGAAAATCAAATTAAACAAATGGCATGATGTATTAATGCAGAAAAATGATAGAACTGGGACTCTACAAATAGACAATGAATTGACTTATACAGGAATGTCACAGGTAAATATTGTAATAGTCACATGTCAATATTATAATAGTCACAGGTCAATATTGTAATAGCCACGGGTAAATATTGTAGTAGTCACAGATCAATATTGAAATAGTCACAGGTCAATATTGTAGTAGTCACAGGTAAATATTGTGATAGTCACAGATGAATATTGTAATAGTCACAGGTAAATATTATCATATTCACAGGTAAATATTATAATAGTCACAGGTAAACATTGTAATAGCCACAGGTCAATATTATAATAGTCACAGGTAAACATTGTAATAGTCTCAGGTAAATATTATAATAATCACAGGTAAATATTGTAATAGTCACAGGTTAATATTGTAGTAGTCACAGGTAATGCAATGTAAGTTACTTTCCTTTTTAATTTTGTTTAGGGAATCCTGACAGAACTGAATTTATCCAACAGTGTGTTACATGTAGGAGGCTTTAATACCAGTGTTCCAAGTGACTCACAGATCTCAGCTAACTTCACAGGAGTCATACAGAGGGTAAGGCATTGCTATGGGCTATTTATAGTGATGATGTAAGATTTACAAATTCAGATTTATCCTAAGATAGGAAATATTGATTAAATTTGTTATGCTTATTGCTCAATGTATGACCTTTCTAACAATGCTGTTAACAAATAATGTAAATGAATTATCAATGATGGGGTAATAAAATGAATGAATGAAAAACCTTCAGTCTTGGATATTATCGTCAATCTAAATGCAGCAATCTCTACTTTCCCGCTCACATTCTTTTCAAAGTCTGAAGAGCAATACTTTGCTATGATCACTTTTTTTGTGGAATTTTGACAGATATACATTAACGGACACCTGTATGACAATTTGATTAACTCTGCCACCTCCACTGTCAACATTAGGGAGTATCATGGCCCCCCGTGTAATGTCAACCCATGCATGAACTGGGGAGTGTGTGTTCCTCGATTGGATGAAGCAGACTGTAAATGTCCAACCAAGTACATTGGGGCCCGCTGTGAGAAAAGTAAGTAGAGCCAAATGCAGAGGAGAAATTCAGAATATTGAAGTAAAGAGACATTAAATGAGGAAAGTCACTAAATTATAGGGATGGGTATCGGCAAAAATTTCATATCATGATATATCACGATTTTTTCCCAAAAATATCACGATAAATCATGATATTTTTACACATAATTTTTACTACAATTTCAAATGATTTTCCATAATATTTCTTAAAAATATGCTTTAAAAACATACATTTACTTTTTAAATTTTGATTTATTTAATATAAAGCATTTTTAAATGCCGTTGTTTAACTGCTTTCAACATTTTTTACACTTCCTGTAATTGTCATTCAATAGTTTTAACAAATAAATGAATAATTTCCGGAATTTATAGTTATGTACCAAATACTGATATTTTAGTCTCCGTATCACGATACGTATCACGCAATAAAAAATCGCGATATACCGGTATACCGATAAAATCGCGCATCCTTACTAAATTATACATAATATTTTGCTCCTTTGGAAAAAAGGGGTCATATTGGGTTTGTATGTCGGTCAGTAGACCATTTGTTGTCTTATCAATGTATTAAGTACTGTACTTGACAGATGTCAAACCTGATATATTGGTACTTTCTGATGAGAATATGAACCCTATCGACTGACTTTGGGTCAAAACTACTCTGGGCATGAGAAGATATATTATTCAATTAATATCTTGAGAATCTTTTGTTGACAACAAAATTGGCATTCTGGTACCTCCTAAGGAGAAGATGACCCCCATTAATTTTGATGCCACTACATCAAGGGTCAAACTACTCTAGAAAAAAGGAAGATACTTTCTAAATAATTTTTTTAGAATTTTTAACTTGAGGGGCATAAAAATAATTACACTGATACCATCGAAAAAGTAAATGAGGCCAAAATAAAAAATACCTTTGTTTCCCCTAACGCGCCCGACCCAATTAAATCGCCCCGACTGAAAAGATTTTTCAAATAAGATCATTCAAATATTTCTTTTTTTTTAATTATTTATCAGCTTTTATAAAATACAATTAAAACATTGTTCTACTGTGATTTTCAAGCGTTTGTTGGAAACAAAAAGGCGCCCACAAACTATGGTCACAGAGGATTAGTTTATGTTACAAAACAACGGCGACGTATCAACATTATGCCTTTAGCTTTTCAGAATCATACACCCCAGAAACATTTCGTTTATAAAATATACCATGACTAATTAAGAGTGTTTCGGTGATATTTACAAACCTATCTAAAATTAAGGTACTTTGTACATGGTAAGACCCGCCTCATCAGCAGACGAGGGGCCCACCTTGTGAACATATCAATCAATTTCACTGCATTTTATTTAATTTGAGTTTTGATCTAATAAACAGTTCATCTATGTTTTCTATTTGGGAACATAGTTGTTGTAAATAATCCTGATGAATATAATTCAGACGTCCTTTCTTCATGCCTTTTATTCATGGGTTAATCTTCGTGACTATTACATTGGGTATGGCATTTTTATCATTGTTAGATATGGTTTGGTTCAATTAAATATTATTTACATACCTTTTCCAAATAGTTTTGAAATCACGATACAGCTTCCTGAGACGTCCAGTGATTTTTTTTTCTTTAATTAGGTCCTTAAAAATTGGTTGTTTCTTTGCTTTAAATTCCTTAGAGATTTGGTGGACGACAACATTTGAATATTTCCCCGGCGAAAGTCTCCACTTTGGCCATTTAACAATGAGGGATCTTTTTGTGCCAACATCTACTGCGACACTGGACCTAAGTTTTTACGGTCCCATTTGAAGGACCGGTCTCAACGTCCCTCATTGCGATTTGAACCATTAGCTCCTTAATAACTTCGGGACTCCAAAATGAAATGCTCTAAAACCACTGCACAACTCAAAGCCCTTGAAAAAGTACATTGCACGTGTAAGCACTGTAAGCTGATATTAGACTTGAAAATATATTCGGATGTCCGGTCTTTGAGTATCTGAGAATCTTGTCTTTTTAAGTATATATTCGATTTAAATAAATTTACACTGACGTGAGATATTTCACAAGTTCAATTGAATAATAGTTGTGAATTAATTTACCTTAAATTTTGCTTTTAAACGGCATTTGTATTATATTCTGTTCACATATCGCTTTCTTTTGTACTTTTCTTATTTATAAAGGTTTTATTCCATTAAATGTCAGATGGATTTTCAAAGCTGGTGTCAGGGAAAAAAAAATTTACCTACCTACCTACCCATCTTGAGATTTTAGGGTCGGGTTAGGGGAAACAAAGATATTTTTAATGATGGCCTGACCCATATGATTTTAAGATCACAAGGTAAAGGGTCAAACAATGTTGTTTCTAAATTATTTCTTGATTTAATTAGAAAGTCCTTAGCACCACTGCTATATAGAACTGTATTGTGTGATACCTGTTACTTTTAGTGGCAGATCCTAAAAACAAGGACTTACCTGTGGCTTTTGATGGCAGCACCTTTTTACAGTATCCTAATGAAATAACTACACAGTAAGGAATTATTACCTATCATCTAGTTCTTAATGCATTCGATTTTTCTATTGAAGACAGTGTTTGTTTGACAAATCTTTGTTGTATGTAAACTTTTTTAGTGGTGGGTAAATATTTCATAAGCTGTTTTAGCCCATTGCATTTTTCCATTGACATAGCATCTTCTATGATCATGATAACTTTTAACATTATCAATTTTTTCAAAATACGTATCTATCAGGAAAAGAAAATTGTCATAGATTTTGTTAAGTCATAAAATTCTAGAAGTTTAAAGTTTAAGCTTTATTTGGCCTTGCTTTGAAGCATGGATTCAGATAAGTTCACTTTCAAGGAGAATTGTTAATTAGCAGAGCTGCCAATCCGTATAATTTTGGCATAAGACTTATTGTGTGAATGCTAAAATACCCACTACAAATGTTGTTTATTCTTTTGAAATACTGGCTTACTAATTTTATTTTATGATGTTGACAGAGCTGCTGTAGGAAATAGTCAGAAAAGACTCGTTAGATTGGTCAGACTTACGAGTGTGAATTTTTTTTAAAAAAGACACAAGTAGTTAGATAATTAAAAGCCTCTGACAAATCTTTCCAGGCAAACAGCCCAGAGAGTGAATAGATACAGCATTGTATTCAAGACAAGATCCATGGAGGGCCTCATCTTGTTCCAGAATGGGCGGAGCAACATCCTGGGGGATTATCTGGCCCTAGCTGTGGTGGGTGGAAAAGTAGAGCTTAGCTACAATCTGGGTAAACAGACAGAAGGGGATCTCCACATCATCCGCTCCTCTACGAAGGTGGACGACGGACAATGGCATCATGTTATTGCTCGACGGTACATCAAGATTTCATAGCCTGATCAGAAATACTGAAGTTTATCCACATTTATATTTCTAAATGGAATTATCTGCCGGCATAGACTTTCTTGGACCTAGATTGCTTAAACTTTCAGCTCGTATAATATCCAAACCTCTAACACACCTAATAAATTCTAGCATAATCAAGGGATCCTTTCCTTCACAGTTGAAAGTCGCAAAAGTAACTCCTCTTTTTAAAAAGGGCGATAAATCTGACCCAGGAAATTATCGCCCAATCTCAATTTTACCAACTATATCGAAAATTTTAGAGAAGCATGTAGCAGAAAATATATGCATCTTTACTTCTCATTTTGATTTATTAATGAAAGCACAATCTGGATTTAGAGAATTTCACTCATGCCAGACAGCTCTCACAAAACTAACTGAGAATTGGTTGCATGCAATAGATCAAGGAAACTTCGTTGGCATTACTTATTTGGATTTTAGCAAAGCATTTGATCTCGTAAATCATTATATACTAATTAGAAAACTTAAATGCTATCACTTTGATCCAATATCAATTAAATGGTTTCAATCATATTTATATGATCGAACTCAAAGTGTTAAAATTGGTGCATACACATCTAAATCACTGCCAGTCACAGCAGGTGTGCCACAGGGCTCTATTTTAGGTCCTTTATTATTTCTGTTATACATCAACGATTTACCATTATCTGTTGAACATTGTAATATTGATATGTTTGCTGATGACACTACAATGCATTTTCATGGTAACAATATTTCAGGTATTGAATCAACTCTTAATCATGACCTGTTTCAAATACAAAACTGGTGTCAACAAAATCAAATGATTTTGAATACTGATAAAACAAAGTGTATGTTAATGGGAACACAACAAAAGAAATCAAAATTAGAAAACGCTAATCTTCATTTACAACTTTCCGGTCATCCCCTTGAAAACATAAGAACAGAGAAATTATTAGGTGTTCACATTGATCATACTCTTCAATATACTTGTCATGTAGATGCAGTTTGCAAAACTCTTACATATGAATTATTTACTTTACGCAAAATTAAAAAGTTCCTTCCACTGCATACTAGAAAGCTATTTTATAATGCATTTATTTTACCATCAATTTTATATTGTCTATCCATTTGGGGTAACTTTTCCTCAAACTCACATCGATAGAATATACAGACTTCAAAAAAGAGCAGCTAGGATTATTTTAAATGAAAAATATGACGCACCTTCAATGCCCTTATTTAATAGTTTAGGCTGGTTAACAGTTCATGAACTTCTGTATTTACAGAAAAGCATTCTAATGTTAAAAATATTCCATGGTATGTCTCCTGATTATATGCATGACTTTTTTGAATTTCAAAGTTCTGTATCATACACGTTACGCTCAGAGACAAATTCAGAAGTTCGTTTACCAAAATATAAAACAAATTTATTGAAAAATTCTTTACAATATTCAGGGGTTATTATCTGGAATGAGTTGCCTATTAGTATCAGGAATTCCCAATCCCTTGCAATATTTAAAAGTAGTGTTGAAAATTTTTTACTTACGAAACGTACTGATTCTACATGAATTTAAATATCTTACTTTTTTTTCTTACTCTATCCTTTCCCCCTTTTAATGAAATTTTGATGTTTCATTTATTCTGTTGTAACATAGTGTTTATATTTTATTGTCTTATAGTTGTGATTTGTGTTTATTGTATATATACATTGTATATGTGTTATGGAGAAGGCCCCAAGGAAGACTAGTGCTTGCACTAATCGGGTTACCTTCTATAAATAAAGTATTATTATTATTATTATTATTATTATTATCATTATTACAGGGATGAGAGAGAGGGAAGTCTACAGGTGGATGGAGAAGTCCCAGTGGTGGATCAATCTGCTGTAGGGGCAGATCAATTAGACACTAATGGCAGGCTGTGGATTGGTGGGTTTATAATACAAATATCAACAGTGTAGCTACGTGTACCAAGATTCCACAAGCTGTTAGCTACCTTGCTTTTACTATTCCCCACTTATCAGCATGTAGGTTAAAGTTCTAGCCTCTTGGTCCATTTCAAGTATCTATGAGCCCACTTGGACCAAAGTTACATCTAGAGATGCTCACTTCAGAATGCTTTGGATGCTGCATCTGATCTATTTTCTTTAGCGACTGAAATGTTTAAAGTTGTTACAGCAGGTTCATTCTCATGTAACTATGAGCCCTACCCAGACTAAACTTGCAAGCAGCATGAACAAAGTGTTCAGGAATGTGCACACCACTGCTAGTAAATCTATATTTTATGGAGTTTTTGAATTTGTCTTAGGAACATTTCCCACCTCTATGTTCACTGTTGTAAACTTTTTTATGTCTATTGTCAGGTGGTAAAACAGAACTCCCCCTGGGTCTACCAAAGGAGTACTATACTGGATTTACTGGATGTATAAAAGAAGTTCTAGTAGACTATAAATCTCTACATTTGTTAGAGAACAGGAATGGACAGAGTACCAGTTTAATCAGAAACTGTGGAACATCTTAGCAGAGTAAGGAAACCAGTTTATTCTTCATATGGACAGAGCACCACTTTAATCAGAAACTGTGGAACGTAGCAGGGTGAGAGAACCAGTTTATCCTTTACCAGAGTGAGAGAACCAGTATAATTTTGTTTTAATTTCATCACCATTAATAACCACCAGGAAGTGTATAAGGATAGGTATTTGCTTCAGGTGAGGTCTTTAGCAATAGACTTTTCTGTTGGATTTATTAGAAACATTTATATTGGTGATATTAGCATGATGTTCTTATTGCAGACATTGTACATGGGTTCTTTGTCAATCGTTTTTATACAAGTGATTTTATTTTGAAGACTTTTTAGATATAATATAAATGTCACATTAGGAAGAATAATGCTGCTTTACTTTAATGAAGGACATAAGATTTTGTGACATAATTGTGATGATTTTAAACAAAATGGATCTTTTTCTGTATATGAATTGATTTGTATCAGCCAATAGATGGTTACATGTAATCCAACATGGCTTTTACACTATGTAAGGACTTAGATAAAAATGTTATACCTTTAAAGTGTGTGTGTGTTTGTGAATATGTATATATTATAAAAAATGCTTTCATCAAAAGTTGGTATTTTGTAGTGTATATACGAATATTTAAAGCCTGCTAATGAAATATACCTGTACTTTATCAGATGTATTCATATAAAGCTATTTTGCTTGGTATTTATTTTACATACAACGTGTAAATGAATTTGATGAAAAAGTCATAAAAATTTGTTTGTTATGAATAATTGTAAACAATCACAGAGGATGAATTTATGACTGGAATTTAATGCCGATTCACATTAGTATTGGAGATATTGTTTTTCTGTGCAGAATACATTGTTAATTATAGAAAAAAGTTTTTAATAAATGTGCCAATGGACTAAACTTATCAGTGCTATGTCATTTCATCCAATCTCAAAAACCCATAATCTTTGACCATGCCATGGTATTCCATAGGGAACTGGGTTTTTCTCACCAAATTTATTTAATAATGTGGAATCATCAATCATTGAGAATCCAATGTTTGTGAGAATTTCATGGATCACAATTAACCACAAATAAATCCATGTGAATGATCAATTTGATTATTAGTAGTGTCTACCTTGGTTGGCCAAGAATGTTGATGTCCAGGAATTGAACTGATTTTACAGTTTAAAAAAAGAATATAGATGACCTAGAGATGTGTTATAATCTAGACTTGAAGTCATGTATCTTTAAGTTAAAAGTTACTAGGCAATGTCATTTTTAATTTGTACTGAATTCTAATTTGAATATGTTGGTGGTGACCTTAATGTTTGTCATGAAGTTTCCTCACCATTGGATTTCAAAGGTCAACTTCTAAAGGTCGTATAGTGATGGCGATGACCATAGTTATAAAATTGGAAGGGAAAGACAAACACCTGGAAGGCAAATCATTTTGCAAGGAGCATCACACGGTGTAGAATCACATTTGTTCAAATCGTGGTGAATAAAACAGAACAAGTTTGGGAGCATTTGATTAGATTGTAATATTATGGAATTGAGGAGACCAGACTGATAGGGCTGATGTTCTGTGGATTTGTATTTGTTCTCATCTTTATGTTGGACCCTGAAGGTAAAAAGGGCCCTCAAGATGTCCATGGGTCACACTGCTCACCTGAGTCACCTTGGCTCTGCTGTTCTCTGTAAAATATTTTCTTTCTCTAGTCTCAAGAAAATTTTTGAGACATATTGTTGCCTAAGCTCAGCCTCAAGGATTTTATGTGTACATCCACTGAATACTTATCCTTTATTTCTTGTGAAAAGTGATTACTGTTGATCAATCAATAAATTCAATCCAGTTTTAAATCCAATAATTTAAGTATGAAAGTTTTTTAAAGAAGTTTTCAGAGGTCAACTGTTTCATGACCCTTCCAATACTGCATCATAATATCGATAATGCAACATAAAATTTAACAATATGTATGACACGCCAAATTTACGAAAGTGAGCTAAATACGGTATAGTTTCACAGTTGATAATCTATGTCTATCGACTGTTAAGTATATTTTACGGACCGTAAACCATATTTAACGACGTTTATCTATATTTCACATCTCCAAACCATAGTTAACGCCTCAATCTTTGTTCCACAAGTGTAAACTATACTTAACAACGAAAACAATCACTTGCGATTGCAAACATAGTTTAACTTAGTACATGACTTTCTTTATTACATTTTCAACAGTGAAATACTGTGATTTATTACATTTTCAACAGTGAAATACTGTGATTTATTCATTGAATAAAAGTGATATTCTCTCACAGTGTGAAAGGATACCAAAAATGATATTCTCTCACAGTGTGAAAGGATATCAAAGTAAGTAAAAAATAATTTCTGGCCTGTCATAAGATAGAGATAGTAACTAAGCATCTTGATAGAGCTAAAACTGCAAATTTCTTCCTAAATATGTTGCTAAAATCCATGCTATGTAATTCATTCTGTTTTCAATCTGACACACAACTTCTAAGCTATGACGTCTCAACCGCTCAACTATGACGTCAGGCCTATGACACTGTGTTATGAAAAGACAGAGGCAAAGGGAAAATCAAAGAAAATGTAATAAACAGAAAATTCAATGTTTTGTAGATGAATATGGAATTTATTTCACTCGTGAGACAGGATTTTTTGATATTTTCACTCGTGCTTCGCACTCGTGAAAATATCAAAAAATCCTGTCCCACTCGTGAAATAAATTCCATATTCATCTACAAAACATTGAATATCCTCTATTTATTTATTGAATAAAAGTGATATTCTCTCACAGTGTGAAAGAATACCAAAATGTTATTCTCTCACAGTGTGAAAGGATATCAAAGTAAGTAAAAAAATAATTTCTGGCCAGTCATAAGATAGAGATAGTAACTAAACATCTTGATAGAACTAAAACTGTAATTTTCTTCCCAAATATGTTGCTAAAATCCATGCTATGTAATGTTTTCAATCTCACAGCTGCTAAGCTATGACGTCTCAACCGCTCAACTATGACGTCAAGCCTAGCTATGACACTGTGTTAAGAAAAGACAGAGGCAAAGGGAAAATTTTAGAAAATGTAATAAACAGAAAATTCAATGTTTTGTAGATGAATATGGAATTTATTTCACTCGTGAGACAGGATTTTTTGATATTTTCACTCGTGCGAATATCCTCTATTTATTAATACGGTTTCACGATTTGTAAACTATGGTTTACAACTCTAAACTATAGTCAACGTATGTTAATTATAATTTGCGGTTGTAAACTATAGTTTACAGATATTTAAGGCGCCGAATTCACAAACCTAATTTACAGTTTCAGAAACACATTTTCACGCTAAAATCATCACTGATTTTGTATTGGAGATGCACAATTTTCTGTAAAATTTATCTCACGACTCTAAAGTATAGTTTACGATCAAAACTATAGTTAACAATAGTTTTGTCCGTAAATCATAAATGAATTAATCCTAGTTAGGGACCAGGCAAAATTTATCACAATGATGGGACCGGTACAAACAGGCATGGACAATGAATTTTTTCATGGGACAAAAACATTTTTTAGCATTAAGTAGCCATGGGATAAACACTTTTTTTTAAATGAGTTATAGTACTAATTTATTATATTTAAATATATTTTATCTTTAAAAAAATAAATTCTTTAAAATATCTTTTAACGTCAAACAAAGGATACAAAGTGTAAATCTTCAAATTAATACTGCATGCAAAAATAAAGTAACAAACAGTGTTAATAAGAGTTATGAACATGAACAAACAAATTATTTCGATAAATCATTCAAAAAATGCTGCTAATAAATTCTAGAGTAACATCTCTAAAACAACCAAAATCAATCATGTACTTTACACGAATGGTCTCTAAAGTTTCATCCATTCAGACAACTTTCATGGAACGATTATAGGCATTTATGGCTGCTGTTCGATCCAATTCATTTATAATGAAAAAAATATATTTTAAACTAAAACTTTCATCAATGTTTGAAATATCTGTAATCTGAAAGACTCTTTCAGTTAATATATAAGAGTAATTGTTAACGTTGTACTCTTTGTTTTTTGGTTATTTTTTGCAATAATCTCACATCAAGATTTAACCATGGGACAGTAACTTTTTTATAAGTCTAAAGGCATGTAATACAGCATAAGAATCTGAAACAATTATTTTCATTGGTTGTTAAATACTGTAAACGAACTATTATTTGCGTCATCTTTTATTTGCGATTCGTCAGTTTGAAATCAATCCGCGACGATTAATTTTCGCGACTGAGCATACATTCTCTACAAATACGAAGCAAAGTAAATGTTTCGCGGCTATTAAAATTCGTGAGTTAAAGTAGGTTGCGAAACACGCGAATAAAAGTTGGTTTACAGTATATATATTTCTTGTTGAAATTAAAAGTTTATGTTCTTTCATTTTAAAGCAGATCTAATTGAAATAAATAGAAAGATGGCAGAAAAATTCTGGATTAAAATCTATTTTTTTATTTGAAAGAGATAAATAGTGAATGCATTTTGACGGTTTCTAACCAAATTTTTCTTCATCAGGAACGGATAAATCACTAACATTTATCCTTGCCGTCTTTCCAACCTTTTGCGCTGATCAAACAAAAATGAGCATTGCTTGTATCAAAAGTTTGAATTATAAATTTAAGATTACCAAGAATAGAAATTACTCAAGTAATTCTGTTAATATGAAGCAGGATTTGTTTTCCGTTTTTATATATAACCTACGGCAATGAGACACATTCAGTATTTCCTCTCGCGATTGGTGCCAAGAGATTTTGAATTGAAAACTTCGTTAATTAACAATTACGACCGAAATCTATGATTAACGAATGTAAAACATAGTTTATCTGATAAATATAGTTTCATGATTTGTGAAACTATGATTAACAACTCTAAACTATGGTTAACGAATGTAAATTATAGCTTACAAATGAGAATCTATATTTATCATTAAATTCTATCGTTAACGTTTATTTACAGACAGATAAACTTAGATTAGCATTCGTAAACTACACTTTACAACCGTTAAATATAGTTTTGCAGATGAAAACTATAGCTAACGAATCGTTAACTAAAGTTTACAGTTCGTAAACTATAGTTTACAATCAATAAACCAAAGTTTATCAACTGTTGAACTATGTTTATCTACTTTTTGTGAATTTTGCATGCCATAAATATGTGTTTCTTTAAATTTAGTTATGCATGGATGAACAGTTGCAATCATTGTAGAAAATATTTACATATCTCACAAAGACAGACGGGCAGACCAATATCACCCTTTTTTTTTTATTTTAACTATATATCTGGAGAATCACCGACCTTTTTCACAGTAAGTTGAATAAAAGTAATCCACTACTTTTAATTCATACTTTTTGAACTATTCATTTTTTAAATCTTTTGGTGGAAAATGTTTCACCATAAATATTTAAATTGTGTTAAACATGCATGAATTCGTTTACCAAGTCTTGTTAGTTGATGTAGCTGGAAAAAAAGGTATGTGCAATCGAGCTTAATTCTGAAGTTTCTCTTATTTGCCGAGTATAGTAATGAATATTTAGGACTCCGCATGAAAATGTGGGAGCCCTAGAGAAATCACGTCTGTTCATCTGTCTGTCCGTCAAACTTTTATTGTGACGCCATAATTCGAACAGTTTTCAACGAAATGTTTTTAATTAAATTATGTACATATTTTAACTAGATGCTGTCATGAGACAGTAATACCCGCACTAAGGTGTTTGCCTCTAAATGCACACTCCTTCATATTGGGCATACCAAGGAAAAAGTCCAAATAATTCTATAATTTACACAGTACATGTATTCGTCAAATCGAGCATAAAATGCTCAGGTGACCATGTGACCCATGAACCTCTTATA